GCACGAAGTAGTATAATCCACCAGAACCCTGAATCAACAGGAGCAACTCTACCAATAGCACTTTCACCGAAATCAGCAGTTATAGTCTCATAGTTCCTAACAGGATCATGAGACACTTTAAAACTTGCAGGCATAACTCCATCCCCCAACTTGAACTGGTCTATCTTCTTCTCCCGAGATTGGAGGCGCAAGGTTTTCAAAAGAAAATTCTTTACTATATCAGGTTCACCATTCATCAAGAATGCCAAAGCGCTGGGGACAAAATCTCTGACAAAAACCTGCCAAATTTTAAGTCAGAACTGCAAATTGCAAGTAGAATGGTTGTCATGTACATAGAGAAAGACGACTGTGAAAGGATTTCGGAAAGCTGGGCCCATCAGTAAGCTGGTTTTACCTCTGGAGAATATCTAGAATCTGGTTCTAGATCAGACGCAAAAACGCTCAAAGGTTCATTGGGGTTTTAAGCGCAAATAAGCATGAATAACAAATAAGTGAAATATCAATTGTTTAGTGCCGCCTCGTCATAAGAGGTTAATTCACAATGATAAGTATGCCTTAGAGAACCTTGCTAACGACGCTGAATGCACAATAAGCGAGAAAAAGTGCTCAGACACATTTCGAGTCCCGCTTCATGGCTTAAATGCGCCTTTGACAACACTGGTTCTACATAAGTTTTTATGTAAACTATTTGAACAATTCAGTCGGTCAAGCTTAGCTCATATTCATTGAAATAGCTGGGCCTGCAAACTATACCCCCTCTTCATCTTATCAGTCAACCGCAAACCAATCAGTTGCACTGATAACTATAGTGTGGACATAGGAATTCACCATTTTCTATTTATTACGTAAAGAAACATCTAGTACAACTTATCAGAGGACACTCGTCAAAACAAGTTCCATTGAAGCACATAATCGACCTGCTTCACGGGATATTAAATCACAACAAAATACATAAAGACAAACTTGTATCCATCTAAGAACTAGAACAATAAGCATTTACCTGATCATAGTTAAGTTCCTCAGCAGAATTATCTATAGCAGCAATAGTTCCCACAGGTTGATCTCGGAAGTTAACAATAGAACGCCTCAAAGCTTCCCATGCTTCGCCGATTATAGGATGCGGCTCATATCCGAAGGTTGATCTGGGTGTGTGTATGCCGGACCACCTTCCTGGTGAATACACTCCAACCATATTATCAAAAACACGAGAAGAGTTCTCCGAATTTTTGTATACCTGACGTGGCGGTGAATGAGTCATTGACATTTCGCTGAAAGATCTTTCATCGAACGACCTCTTCCTTTCAATATTAACTTGTCTTGGCCTTTCCAGCAATCTAGCCAAATCTTCCTCGATTTCAAACAAGGATGGAGCAGCTTCCGCGTGTCTTGCATTCCCATTTTGAGACACATCCACAGGGCTAGGCATCTTCCAATACTTCCAAAAGTCCTAGACAATAAGAAATCGAATCCAAAGATCTGCATATCACCAATGAAATAAGAAAACTTTTAAGAATTCGCCCCCGTAACAGAAGCTTAGTAAACACAAAGCTATATAGCTCAGACTCTCCAAAAACATCAAACAAGTGTGTGTCGGATCCTCCGAAAGGTTCCTCTTTTGGAGGATCCAATGGGCTGCAGCAACATTTTTGGAGAGTCCGAGCTACATCAAACAAGAACTTACATAATAAAGAATACAATCAACTTGTAATAAAGAGTGCAATTAATGCCTCTTATACTTGGAATACATTAAATTGAAATATACACCAGATCAGAAAATCAACATTTTTTTCATTTACAAGCAATATTTATTCACTATAAGTTTGGTTTAATTCAACTTGAGCAAAATTAGAGCAAGTTCTTACACACAATTTTAATTAATTAATCATAATCATTAACTTAATTAAACAATCAAAGTCAAACTACTGTTAGATCTTCTTTTACTTTATCAATTTACTTCTTTCTTTTTAATTCATACTTTGATCAATCCAGCAAATACTGAAACCAGCACAAAATGAAAAATCTCAAATGCAGAAAAACCTTAATATCATCGAAACAAACAGAAAAATGAAAAAATTAAGAAACATAGATAAAACACAAAATAAATAACCTAGGAGCTGGTAATAACAACCTCAAAGTATCGGCGGCGGCGGCGGCGGCTACGGCGAACTTCAGTGAGATCTAAGGTTTCCGAGGAAGACACCAACCATGAACTATCAGAAAGACTTTGGGACACAATGGGTCTTTCACTATATACTATGTTGGAACTATGTGAAAAAAAATTAACCGGGAAATGAAGGTCAAAAGACGAGTTGACTGGATATACCGGTAAGATTTTGTGCTTGTGACGTATGGGATGGTAACTGACACGTAGGATTGTCTGGGAATATCCGATTAACAGTTCTGGGGTAATCTCCGACCAAACTTTGTCCGAAAATGGATTAGTTGTAATTGTAAATAGTGATTAAGGAAATAATTGTTGTTGTTGTGAACGATTATTACGATCTTAAGTATGATTAGTGATAACGATTAATCCCACATCCTCGCGACTTAATAAGTTTCATTAATACTACCTTTAGTTTTTTTTTAAAAAAAAGGATGAGATTATTAATTTTTTTATCTCAACTTATGTTATTCACTTTCATTTTTAATTAATGTCAAAAAGAATCTAATATTATTATATTTTGGCAACAATTTAATTTTAAAATATTTATATTATTTTTAATAAAATGATTTATAATCACATAAATATAAAAAATTTATTTTAAATCGTAAATTTTAAAGTTATATGTCTAATCAAACTACCTCACATAAACTATGACATAGAGAGTAAGAAATAATGATCAACAATGAATTTTTCATTTGTTCCTTTTTTTCTTACTTCAACAATGATGATATTGAAGTCGGAAAATAGAATATTATTTAGATAAAAAGTGCTTTAATATATGCATGATGATAATTTAAATAAAATAAATGACGAATGAAATCCAAAAAGTTCACTTACCATTAGCTCAAATATTAATGTTGGAGAATTAATAAATTTCATATATGGTAAATTTTCTAAACATTTATTGCTAAAGAGATTAACTATGAAATTATTAAAACATTCTTTTGTAGTTTCTAAGTAGGCAGATTTATTAAAATTTGTTGCTGCTGATGTTATTAATCTCAACGATTAGATGTGTTAATCGTTCCGTTTAAATTTTTTGGATGAATCAGCCCTTCTCTTTTAATAAAATAATTTTATTATTTTTTTATTGTTATATTGTGTGTGAGAGAGAGTTTAAACTATTAAAAAAAATGTAATTAATCTATGTACAAAAGAGAATAAAATAGAAAAATTCATGTAAAAGTAAAATCTTCATTTTATTTAACTTTCCTTTTTCGTTTAATTTTAATATTTTTATTCATTCTTTCTATTGCTACCTACTCCTTTTGTCCCCTTTATTTTTATTGTTATTCTTCTTGCTTTGTTTTCAACGATAAGATTAATTTAGTCATTCTATGACTTCGATTTGCATGAATCTTCCCTCCTTTAAGTATATCGTAAAAAAATTAATTAATTACACCAAGTTGATTTTCTTTATTACTTAAGGTCCAATCCAACTTAGTTGAAAATTTATATTGATGTGAAAGCTGGTTTAATAAATCCTACGTGTAATTAAGTGTCATTTGGACGGCGATGCTGATTTTTACAACGTGTTATTACGTGAAAATGAAATTATGTTAATTAAAAGATTAATGTCAAGTACTACATATCCTATTTTGGATACCAACAGAAAATGTTCGATGCATCTTTTTCAAACTAGACCACCCCAACCTACCCATGTTTCACTTGATATATATATTATTGTTGGAAATAAAAAACTTTTAAAAAAGTATATGAAAGACTTTTGGTATATTGGTCATTCATTATCTCAATTCTTATCTGGTATGAGATATCAATTCTTATTATATATTTAATGTTTTTTAATGGAATTGTTTGTTTGCATATATTTTTTATATTTATTATAATGAAATGAGGTAACAAATAACATATAATATAACATAATATAAAAATTGATTCTACAGAAAACTTGAAAATTATAAGTGTATAACTAGTAAAATATAGTTATATGTGATGATTGTTATAAGAATATCTTGTGTTCTGAATAAGCGGGTTAGAAATTGATCGGCATATCGACTAATCCGTTGTATATGTTTGTCATTAGTCATTACTTACATTAATAATTTTAAAATCATGAAAATTCGATATGATTTATGACTAACCTAGCATGACACTTATGTTGAGTTTAACAAGAAGCCACATCTTTGTTATAATATTTGTCACAATTTTAAAATGTAGCATCTTTTTATCATTTGTAGGTTTGAAATCATAAAAAGATGTACCACTAGTAAAAACAAACAAATAAATGTAAGATACAAGAATAAAAATTGAAATAAATTCAAATATAACATGAAGTCATATTATATGAAACGTAGTTAGATTTAAAAAATGATAGAAATCACATACTTTTAAGACAAAATTATCATTTATCCGTTATAAGTAGATAATTATAGAAATCTCTTAAACTGATACAATAATATAAACATTAATAGTTAACTAAGATACATTACATTTTGCACATGATACACTATTCTGATGTACATTTTATACATGATACACTAATATGATGTGCGATATACATTAATCTGATGCACGAGATACATTAGTCTGATGCACGAGATACATTAATTTGATGCGCTGATACATTAATCTCATGCGTGAAAATGAGGGATTTGGGGATTTTTAAAACTAATAGGGGATAATGGTAATAAGAGAACTTAAAAGTGAAATTTCGTCATTTTTCCTAATATTAATACAATATAATTTGTGAATAATTTAACACGATATGACGATTCTTGTAATATAATACAACACACTTAAGGGCCCAAAAGGAAGCAAGCCCAAGTGGAGGCCCAAGCCTCTCGCTCCTACCCTGTAATTTGTGTTCGTTTTCAGAAAGCATATAGAGTGCTGTATTTGACCGTTGAGAAAATTTTCGAAACTCAACGGTTCTACGCTCCATTGCGCTCTCTCTCTTTCAAACTCTAAAAGTTTCTTCAATCTGCAATGGCGAAGTCCAAAAAACCAAAAAATTCTTCCGATAGAGAAAAATGGAACAAAGTGTTCAATGCTTTAGTTCACATGTTGACATCACAGCAGACGCAGCTTGAATCCCTTGCAAAAGAGAGAATGATTCTTGAAGATCGGATAAAATTACAGAATGATCGATGGGTATCTGATATTCATAGATTTCAAGAACAAATTTATGAGGTTACTTTGATTTTCTTCTTGAATTTTGCATTTTTACTTATTTAGGGTTTTGATTGCTTGGAATTTTAGGGCTTTTGATTAAATTGGGTTCTTTTGCGTTTGCAGATGAGGAAAAACTTTACAATTCAAGAGATGGAGCGCATGCTTGAGGTTGCGAAATCGGAGTTTGTTGTTGGTTTGAAGCAACGAGATGTTGCCGTGTTCCAAAGAAAGCTCGGTGAGTTTATATTTGAAAAAGAAAAGAACTTTTTCTTGCCCTAAGCTTTGTTTGGTTTATACGAAATGATGGAAATTTGAGCAAATTGTGGACCTTTACTTGCCTTGCTGTTTATTTCCCGACTCGTTGAGTTTAAAATCAGGTAGGAAGTAGAGATTTCTTATTGCTATGCACAGGGACAGAGCCTGGTGGGAGCAAGGGGATTTATGCATATATAGCTCAGTAAATATTTTGGCTCCGCCACTAGCTATGTAGAGTTCAAAGACGATAAATATTAACTTTGAAGTTGTCCTTCTCTTCTCTTTCTTTACCTGATAAGGATGGTACTATTCATGATTACTGCCTTTGATAACTTTTATGAGCCTTATTTTGTGCTGGGGTGTCGCCACAAAGTACAGTGTCACTGCCTAAACAATATTGCTGTTTAAGATAATCAATTTGATAGTGGAGCTTGAAGTCTTGAACATACAATATCTTTTTCTTACTCAATATGGTTCTCTCAATATACTTTTATGAATCCAACCATGAATAAAGTTGCATAATTTATTTTCTTTTGATAGCTTAGAAATCTTCAAGGGCTAGTGGCACTCGTGTTAGTTAAATTGGGAGGGAATTGAAACAGTTATCTGTTACGTCTAGTGGCGCACGTGTCATATTAGTTGGAACGGAGTAGAAACAGTTACATGTCAGGGTTTCTATTAATCCACCCCATTTCCCATTAGATAAGTTAAATTCTTTCAATACACTTTTACGAACTTAATACTGAAATAAAGTACATCATAGCACTTCATTCAGTTTGGAGAAGTTTATAAAAGTCCTAAGGAAGCAGAATGGCATACAGTTCCCTGATTATATGCTAACTTTCTCCTTCTACAGACCTTGGAACAAGAGAAGGAAAAAGAATCTTGAACAGAGAAGATATGGTCTTTTATAGCGTTCGTGCTTTTTTTCCTGTCATCTGAGGAGTGAGGGAGGGAAGGAAAGAAGGAAGGAGAAAATAAAGGGAAGAGACCTCAGGGTGGTTTTTTTGGACATGAGTGGCTGAACTTTAATTCCGAGACTGAATAAAGGGCATGTTACCTCTTTTTTTTCCTCTAGTTGACTCACTTTCTCCAACTCACTCAATTTCACTTGTACACATTTCAACTCTTGTTCTAAAATTCTCTTTGCATCTCAGCTCAGGGCACACTGATATTTCTTTTCGTGCATCTTCAAGATTGTCAAAGTGGATCATTTAAATTAGCAATAATGGAGTTTCTGTGTGTAATCAAAAAATTATGCAACCACATATCCTCTACACACTCGAACACACTTCTTTATGTATAAAGTTATCAGTTCAGTTTTTATTGCAAGAGGCTATTTTAGACTTTCTTGCTCTTGAAAGATGGCTCCCCATCCCAGTGTATCAGTAGCCTTTATTGTTCAAGGATAGACATGATCTCTTAAGTTATATCATCCCAGCATTCAATTTGGTTACTTACTATTCACCTAAAAAGTGCAGAAAATGCAGATGGTGAACTGGCTGACTTCAGAGAATGGTTTGACTACCTCTCTCAGAGATGCTCTGAGCCAAATGTATGTTGTTTCAATTGCCTTTTCTATTATGAATGTTGTTTCTCATCGCCTTTCTGAGTTTTTAGTTTATTATTTGCGCTAGTAATAAAAAACTAGAAGATGAGATGTATGAATGTTCATTTGATCCACAGGATGTACCAAATGCTGCAACAAATGAAAAGTCGGAGACAAGAAAGAAGGCTTGGGAAGATGAGGTGAGGAGGCTTAAAACAGAAAATGAGAAGCTTACTTCAGAGAAAAATTCTGAGATTTCTGCCCTCTTGGCAGAAAAGAATTTTATTTGGAACCAGTTCAACAAACTGGAGCACGACATGACTGAGCAATTGAGGAGAAAATGTACTGAGCTAGAGCATGCAAATGGTAAAATACAGGCATTTACGAGGAACATTGAGGAACTACAATTGTCCAACGCTGATAAGGATAATACAATTGCAATGTTAAGAAGTCAATTGGATAATACAACTGCAACGTTGAGAAGTCAAATGGCCAAATTGGAATCTGACTCCGTCACTAAGAGTGGAGAGATATCCAAACTTTCCACTGAACTAGTGTTGCTAAAGAAGTGCAGAAGTGCCTCCGTCACTCCTGTGCTGCGTCGCTCCACAACTGGATCAGGACCTTCAAAATCGGGAGGCACGTCCCGTGGAACAGATCAGAGGAATATAACTGTTAAAGTGGAAAAGCAATCTTCACAAGCCCTTGAAAAGGTAACCTTTTCCTGCAACTGTCCTTTCCTGTTACATAATTTGTCTGTGTTAATGTTGTTGTTAAGGTTGTTCTTCTTTGAGAGGGATCTCGCCTAGTAGTTAAGTAAATGGCTATGTATCTTCACAGTTGTTTAATCTCATTTTAAGAGCATGTTAGTATGTCAGAAATATGTTATGGCTTATGCTATATTGCTTGGATATTTCAAAAGTTTCATACATGTGTTTGATCCTCCAACACGAGTATAGTGGCATTTTTGGAAGATCGAGCAACATAGGTCTTATGTTATGTAAGCTGATAGATGCTCGTTTTTTTTTATAGGGACAGAGAAGTTCAAAACGAAAAGCTGGTAATAGTATCTTGAGTGCTCCAAATCTATTCACGTCCTCATTTAAGGTACCTAAATTAAAAATGTCATCTCCCTGTGTGACATGACCTCTGTCACCAGAAATTCGGCTTGTATCTATATTAGATGATAGATTTTCGGTACATATGTTCATTTATTGGATCTTGGTTCTTCAAGCTATGTGACAGTAAATTTCAGTCGGTACTAGATGTTGATGTTGTATACTAGAGAGATAGTTGCAACTGATTAGTTGCAACATTTTATTGAACTTGGAGACCTGACTATTCAAGTAAATGAGGATCAGTTATTTGATTTCTGCATTTTCTAGTTCTCTTCTCAATCTCGCAGTCTCTTTCCATTCCTTTAGTACTGATATTACTAATGAATTTGTCTGCGCTCCGCGTTGTGTATCAATAAATTTGAGATACTTTATAAATTTTCACGTGTATACATCTATTAAAGCTAAATTCAGTAAATTGACAAAATTTCAATCAGATAATGAACAAGAGATATATCACAGCAGTCCATGGCTTGTTTTTGCTATACGTCATAGCGCTTTTTTTATTTTTGCTAAAATCCAAACGCTTTATTGCTAATTTTGGTATCGCTTGTTTTAACCACCCTTAAAGTAGGGATTGTGTTCAATGTTTTGTCCAATAAGGGGTGACGTACACGCGGAATTAGTTGAGCTACACAAAAGTTGACTGAGACACTATAATCATTAAAAAAAATGACTTAGTTGAGCTACACAAAAGTTGACTGAGACTCTATAATCATTAAAAAAAATGACTGAAAACACTCATGCTATTGAAAAAATAATATAAAAAATGGGTTGGCATAAATTTATTTTTCGTATGACCACACGACTCAAGTTTTTTCTAAATGAACATTTATATATCATAGCAATAATATGAGTTATATCTTACGAGGCATAACAAGTTTGATCAATATTTCTTTATGAAATGAGCAATAAAGGCAAAAATTAAAGATCCTCATATTTGACTTTGTTATAACTTATACAGAAGATGTGTATTAGCAATATGCAGATAAGATTAAAGAAGATAAAAATACATGTATATCAAACGATCCATATATTATTACTCACTGCATAAAGATTCATATATTATTTACCTCATAAAACCAAATATTGCCTCTCTAAACATTATTATCTAAAGAAATGAAAAACTCTTCCACCCTAATCATACAAATCCTAATCCCTAATCCTAATTATGTACAAGCTATAACACAATACTTTCGATACAAATTAGTATAACAACATACATGAAAATTACTACACAAACAAAAAAAAAGGAACGCTAAATTTTGAACCTTATCGAGTGTAAATTCTGGATCCGTCTTAGCTCAGTATCGAACAATTTTTCAAAGTATACGAAACCAAGTAGATTGAAATGAGTCTTGATAATGAACCATGACCAAAAGCAACACCAAAAGCAAAGCAATTCCCCAAGGAGATCCACCTTCTTGGCTAGCCAAATGGTACACAACAGGCCTTGTAACTCCTCCATAAGGATAAAACCATCTATTACTATCAATCATTATGTATACCAAAAGTATGATAAGAAAAGGTAATAAGAAAGACATAAGCTTCATACTAGCCTTTGATTTTTCTACTGTTGCTTTGTATTCTGAATATGTAGACATAGACATCAAGAAAATTACTAAGCCAAATAAAACTATCAAAGCTAAAGGAGGTGCTGATATTGATTCTAGGGTTTGGTCTCTCCAACTAACTCCTCTTCTTTCTCCTATGAACCAACCCATAATGATATATCAATATAATTCTTAATTTTGAAATAAGAATGTTTTTTTTGTTCTTTGGTTTATTTTCCTATATGGAGCAAAGAGGAATATGTGATTATATATAGAGGAAGAGAGGTGGTGTCAACCTTGTGTGGTTGGAGACAGATGGAGCTTTACTTTGGATGTGGTCTAATCTGAGGTGGATTTTAGAATTTAAAATTTTATGAGTTTTATAATAAGTTTATAAATACTTTATTTTAGGTCGAGAGAAACAATCTCATTATTTTTTACGAGATAAGAGAATAAGGTATGCACACTCAACTTGTGAGATTATACTGAATATGGTACTATTGTTATTATTGATTTATGTAGTAACTTCACGTTTTTTGAGAATTTATCATGAAGGCTTTTACCACAACTTTTTTCTTGTATTCGAGTTTGAGACTGATAATATGAGTAAGCTTCAACATCTTAAATATATTTCCAAATTAATATACAATAATACCTAAATTTATAGTCAAAACGAAATATTTAATGAAATTTGGATTAATACATGTAAATCATCATCTGTACAAAAGTAATTAAGTTCATGTGAACTCATAAACTATAAGTTAATTTCCCCTAGATTTTTGATCATATTAAACTCATTATTTTTTATGATATAAAGTATAATATGATGAATTTAGTATCAAAAATCTTAAAAATTGAACTCCTAAAATTTAAATTCAAATATTCGTACTTGATGTGGTCATAATAAGTTATGGTATAAATTCTGCCCTTTTTGGATTCCATCAGTAGAAGACCGTCCTTTCTTTGTTTAGATTCTACACTTTGAGAAAAGGGGATTGATTCAAAGATAGTAAGCAAATGGGCAAATAAATAAAAAGCAAAGTATATATTCTTTTTTGATTATTATTGCGTAAAGTTACAAAAAAATATCAGTATAATTGGTGTCTCACAACTAAGGTATTGGTCAATTTACTTGTCCATTAAGTCTAAAGTTATTCTGATTAATCACCATCTTAATACCACCTGATTAAACTATAAAACTATTATATAATATAATTATGATAGATTATTTGGGAAGTGAAAGTGTCTGAGCATTATAGAATAGAGACGTGTTATAATTTAGGATTTGAATTTAATAGGTTCTTTTCAAAATTCTTAACATATGTTATGAGTTCAAATATAAAATTTCTTGATATTTTAGTGAATTTTTAGATGCATATTCACATTTGGTATTAATAGAAAATTATGACGTTAGATAAATCTAAAAGTCAAAAGATTACACCCGCTCAAGAGGCTAAAATTCAACTGTTCTCAACTAGGAAAGCTATATATATTGAAGTAAATTTAATTCGAATGAATACAATTTTATTATACATTTTTGTTAATAATTTCTGAGAGATAATTGAATCGAAACAATATATTTAATTAAATTGTCTTAAATTCGTACGTCTGAATAGTAGCAAGAATGATCACAAATCTACCTAGAAAGGTACAACGTGTTTATTTGACCTATAAAAAGACATCGATACAGAAAAAAATATGATTACCTCCAAAAGGCGGAAAGTATAACGAAAATCTTTTTCCATCCTCCTTAATTCTCCTTTTATAATTCTCACATTATAATCAATGGATATTTTAATTCTCACATTATTTACTAGAAAATTAAAGATTTCAACGAAATAGTGTTATGTGCTATGAGACAAGGTGTATTTACTTTAGGGTATATAAAATTATTAGAGAGGTCCTTTTGATATAAATTTAAAGTTATATTTATCTCATTTAATTATTGATATTAATAAATAAAAACTTACACAAATTTAAACCAAAATTTTTATATTAATTATATGGGATGTATGATGTATCACTGATGAAAGAGAGGCTAAAATTATATCCTTTTCCATTAGGAAAAAGCATAAAAAAAATATTAAATTTAAAATTTTAAACTATTTCCTCAATTGATCATACGTATGTAGGGTAATTGAAGATTTATTTCATCACTATTCGCCTGAATTTTGTATATTTGAACAACAAATTTGATGACAAATGGCATGCATGCAAGGATGCAAACGTATTATTTTGATTTAAAAAATTGCTCATATTTCATGATTTTATCGCAATCACAGAAAAAACTTTATGAAAAATATAAATATAATCTTTATAATCTTTTTTCATCTTCCTTTATTCTCTTATTATAATATTCATATCATAATTATATGTGACTGGTTTGTTCTCAAACCAAACTGACCCCTAAAGAATTGAATGTTAAGCATGATAAGTCAAGGTACATGAGAAAAATCTAGGTCCCAATAATGAACAAACTTTAGCCTAAAATTTAATGCAAAATATTATTACGATGAGTTAGGCAGCTTAAATTGTGCCACTTACTAATAATTTTGTGGATGAAATGAAATGAATTGTTTTGATTCAGACAATTGATTGAAATCTTTACATTATTGTTTTATACTTATTGGTTTTGCAATCTCCAAGTCAATGCATTCGATCAATATTGATATTATCTTCATTTTAATTTATATAATATTGTTTAATCTGACATAAAATTAAATAAAAAATATTTTTAGAATTTGTGGTATAATATGCTTCAGCATTTTCTTGAATGAACTGGAAACTTCAGCATATTTATTTTTTAAAAATAAAAGGGACAAATAGTTATTTGTTAAAGTTGTTTCATACATATATAACGAACCAAATATGTACATCTTTTCCACTTTAATTCTTAAAGTTTTTTTTTTTTATAAAAAAAAGAGACCTATTCAATAATTGAATTCTAGTACCATCTTGGGTTCATCCAACATCTTTGCTATTTGGTGAAAAAGAGAAAAAAACCTTTGACATTTAAATAGGCAAATTTGTATAAGAAATACTATTGTATATATGGTTTATGGATCAAAGTCAATTTCTTGAAGATATATATTAAATTTTTAAATATTGTTAACAAAAATTTTAGTTCCGCCGCAGATCCTTTCACGAACCAGAGGGAATATGAATTAAGAATTTCTTAGATTATTCAAAATCTCAATTTATTCTTCTTTTTCTCTTAACATTTGAATACATCATTTTACTCTATTAGATACATTACAACTTTATTGTATACAATATATTTGATACACATAATTGTTGATACATAACCTCAAATCTCAATTATTTCAAACCTATTCAATATGAATCTAATTTAAAATCATGTATCATCATGTAACGTACGAATAATGACAATAACTGTGAGTTCTGAAAATTCTAGATTATTGTAATTCGGGAAACTTTTGAAATATGATATAATTAGCGTCCGGTACTTTATACATAGTTGAATCATGATCTAAAATTCTGATTCTTAGCCCATTTCCTCCGTATTGGGCCTCTATCATGGATCATTTACCCAAAATTGGGCTTTTCACTTATTGGGCTTAAAACCCGAGAACCTGGAATGCTGTCTTAGGCCCAAAATCAAAATTACCCCAATTGTCTCCAACTTCAAAAAAGCCAGTTAACCAGAAGACCAAATGCTTCTTCTTCGTTGAGAAACCCTTCACACTTCACATTTTTACAGCTGATTTTTTCGAATTGAATCCTGAAAATGTCGTCTGAAGACTCAAAGCCAGTGAGGAAAGTGGAAAGTGACGACGGAGAAAGCATTGGGTCTCTTTTTAACAGCAAAAAGAAACCTAACAATAATGCCGCTTCAAAATCTCAGCCTCTCAAAAAAGCTAAGATTAAGAAAGAAGAAAAAGATGATGATTTCGAAGAACCCATTTCGAAAAAGAGTCCAAAAATTGTTAAGCCCAAGAAGGAAGAACCTTCACCCGTGTCAAAGAAAAGTTCGAGTAGAACTGATAAAGTTGGTATTTTTATTTGTGCATTTTTTGTTATTTTACTGTTTGATTTGTTGGTTTTTTAATTGGGTTTTTTGTGTGTAGAAAGTTGTAAAGAAAGAGGAAGAGGATAAGAAGAAAGGAACCAAAAATGGAGACACCGTTGTGAAGAAGAAGGAAAAGAAAGTTTATGATTTGCCTGGACAGAAGAGAGACGCTCCTGAGGAAGTATGTTCCAAATTTGCATGTTAAAAAAAACATTTTTTATGGTTTCAATCTGATCTAATGTTATATTTTTTGATTTTCAGAGAGACCCTTTAAGGATTTTCTATGAATCCTTGTATCAGCAAGTGCCAGAAAGTGAACTAGCAGCTATTTGGTATAACATTCTACCTTTTAAATGATTTTGAATAAGTTATTCTTGGGTAACTCTCTTGTCGTTAGTGTTTTTGAGTATCGTGATGAAGCTGTCTCTATCTTCTTTGAGTTGGTGTTGGTTGAAAAAAATGAACCTTGAATATTATTATGTTCTTAAAGGTCAAATTTTGTTCTTGTCCTAACAGTGTGTGTGTTATCCACCTGGTTGATGCTTCTGTATTAGCTCATGCTTTCATTTAGCGTTCACTTTGTCGAATGAGTAACTATTCTTAGTCTAGTTGTTTAGATGTGTTCATTTTCAAACTGAAAGAAGAGTAGGGGTAAGAAACTTCTGTTTGTATCTGGGTGCCCCTTAGATGCATAGTGTATTTTTGCGTATTGTACAACAGATAGTGAAATATGAGGTGTGTTGCTTGAATGTCAACGTGTGTGGAAGAGCAAGTTGGCTGGAAACAGCTAAAGAAAGCTTGTGAAGTAAGCAGTTCTATGTGAAAAGAATAGCCCACACTCGTAAACTTATATGTCATTTTTTCGTCCCTTTTTTTTTAGTAAAGAAGCATCAGCATGATAGAAGTTGCATGCCTACAACTGAGATGCTTAGTGAAGTTGCTAATTGAGTAAGTATCCATTGGACAAGGAAATCTGTATCTTGACTTGGCCCTTTTCGCCCAGTTAAGTACAATACATATTTGGCCACCTTAGTCGTAATCTAAGAGGTTAAGCTTACTATGATCATCTAATGCGCTACTTTAGATTTGTTATAGGAAAAAATCTACTTTAGTTTGAATCTGCAGAAATCATCTTTCAAGTGTTTATTTGAACATAAGAAAAAATGAAATTATAAGTATATAAGCTTTGTTATAACTTCATTAAAACTTCCGTCTGGAATGAGAAAATGGATTGTTTCAACCCTTTGACACTATATGATGAGTTCAGCTGACTTCTGACTGAAATTGTGACATATCTAAGGTGAAAACTTTTCTGGTAGTGCATTTTTCCACTTATTGACTATGGTTTGATATCATCCTTATGCAAAGCACTGTGTCCCTGGGCACAAGCTTTTACATTGAGTGCTTGGGGGATTAAGTTAAAGTTGTCACCAAGAATAGTTTGTGATACTAATGAGTGTTGTTAGTGGTTATAATGCAAATTAATATGCGTGTCTGAAGCTTAAGATGTGAGTTTAGACTGTTTAGTCAGCTCATTTGACATGATTTTGATGAAATATTGGTGCAATTACTTCAACCAAAATCCCAGGGCTTACTTATGACTGTTCTGTTGCAGCACATGCGATGAAACTATTTAGCCCATTCTTTGCATTATCGTGCTTAGACGTCACTCAATTTCTTGAGATCTGCTGTGGATTGATGCTAAAAACTATGTCTAATGTTGCTCATCTAATCCCTGATACAAATTGTCACTCTTCCCTTTCTGTCTCACTAAATCCACCCCGATCACCAAACAAGCATTAGAACTAACATAAATTGAAGTAGTTTCTCTAATGAATTTGGCAGCTGTCTCAGTCTATAAATGTTAATAAAGCTGGCCAAACAATGTCTATGCATGAATGGTTCCTCCTCATCAACCCTTTTGACCATCACTGATGCTACAGAAAGGATCTCGATGGATCAAAATGTCTGCTTGCAACTGTTAACAACCAAATCCAGAGTTGTTCATGATGATTATAAAAACTACAACTGTCCCTTGCAGTTGGATTCAAGTAATCATATCCTGATACTGTTGTTCTTGCAGGATGATGGAGTCAGGTTTGCTTCCAAAGGACTTGGCGAAGAAAGTTTTTGAGAAGAAACAAAAGAAGGCCCAGCAGCTAAAGCTTGGTTCACCTCTGAAAACGGTTGTGACTGTGAAAAAGACCACGGAGTCTGTTACTATTAAGAAGACAACATCCTCGTCAACCACGCCATCAACACAGAAAAAGAAAACACCAGATTCTGGAAAAACGGAATCAATGCAGCGGTCAAAGAAACGGAAGCTTAAGGATGATTCTTCTGAAGAAGACTCAGATGATGGTTTCATTGCAACTCTTAAAAGCACAAAGAGACAGAAAGCCTCTTGATGTTTCTAATGGCTTAGTGAAATTGTAGATGAGAAATTAAATACTCTGTTACATGCATTTCAATTTCTCCATTATGTAAAAGTTGACCTTTGTTCTCTCATTTTCTCCATTGTGTTTTTCCAGGCTCTAAACTTTGAATACAATTAAAAAAAAATGTATCTCAAACTTCATTCATTGCCCTTAAGAAATAGGGGCCAGACAGGAGCTTAATTACTTCGAGTATTTATGACTCTGATGGCAATACATGACCGGTGAATCTTAGCGCAAGCACTAGAATAGTTGAAAAATTCTAAGTAAACAATTGATATTTCATTTCACATAGAACTAAGAGAAAACTATCCCATATTAGCATTTGATTATTGAACATATAAGCTGGAAAATGAATTTAAGATAACGAACCACATCGGAGAATGAAGATAGTTATGGGCTGCTTGGGTAAAATAAAGAATGAAAAACATACGATATGATAAATTATGATCCTTCAGGCAAGTTTTAACGGGATGTGATGAGTGGTCAATACTCGCATTAAAATATGTGAGAAGGGTGTCCAGGCTTAGCCTTTTACGACAATTTGGGCGCTCTCAATTTTACCAATCTGATCCCTATGCTTGAATTATCTTATAATCCCCCTACCCCAACCCCTCTAAACACACCCTCCCCATAAGTTAAATTTTTTTAATTTTATAGAACATTAGTTTGTTTTATAACTAAATTATAAGTTATTTACATTTTTTATTGGAATGATATAAACTATATAATTAGTGATAATTTAGACCAGATAAAGAAAAACTCAACCGTCTAGTATTTCATGTAGAAAATTCACAAACAAATTAATAGTTCAGGTATACTATCATTATCATTGAACAATTCGACCATGAGTGATGGGATAAAACATTAAATATTACTCCATATATCACAAATCATAATATTTAAAGAACAGTTTTGTACATTACTCATATTTCAAATTGTAGACTTTGATATTCACGGTTAATTAGGTAAGAACTCAGAATTCATTAATGATACATGATTGATCTCAATCTATGCCAGAAATCTTAGAGACACACTTATACTATATGCTAAGGTCCTATTACCTCTAAACTTATTTTATTAATAATTTTTTATCCCTTTTTGGCTTACGTGACACTATCTTGTGGGCCCAACGTTGATTGACTTTTTTTTCAAGATAGTGTCACATAGGCCAAAAAGCGATAGAAAACTATTTATAAAATAAGTTCGGGAATAATAGGACCTTAATATAATATAACTATATCTCTGAAATTTCGGGCATAAAAGGAGTACTTGTGCATTTTCCCTATAATATATAATAACATTCCTTTTTTTATAAACTAATTTTTATAATCACTAACTTTCGCAGAGATTATTTCATGAAACATTCGTACATGTGAAATAATTTCATACAAGTAATAAAATCAAAATAATATTCCTTTATGTATGATTTATAACAAACCAATATTACAATATTATATGTTTGTCTCTTCTCAATATTGGTTTGTTATAAATCATACATGAAGAATCTGAATCTCACTATAAAGAGGTGATATTTTACTACCTCTTTGTCTATGGACTAGGTATTGAATAAAATTTTTATATCTCTCTATATTGAAAATATTTAGCAAGACACCTATATTTATATACGAATAAATTAAATTAAATAATTTTCATAAATATCATAAATAACAAATTCTAAACTACTAAGATATCTTATTCTCAATTTGTTATTATGTGCTCAAATCAAATGAATGATTATATATTATAGACGTAATAGCATTTTAGTTAATGTAATTTGTACTTCAAAGAGAGGTTTAACAAAGAAACTTAGGTTAGAGAATCCAAAACTTGGGTAAAATGTTAAGATTTATTGAAGATGAGTCAATAACAAATAAATATGAAATAAAAGACAAAATTTGGAGCATTTGTGGATATGCTGTACTCAATGATTAGTAAGTAAAATATCTTGTAGTAGTGAATAGAAAAACTGACACATCCCTACTTATTTACTCCACCATTTATGTCTCTACACTTCCCTTCTTTCTGATTCATTACTACAATTACTTGTTCAACAAGCACCTTTTCCATTTACTTTTTACAACATGATTACATAATTAGATAACATTTTCATATATTAACTTTATATATTTTAGTTCTCATTTATATGACACATATTTAGAGCGTGACTACTTAATAAATTGAATTGGTTGAGAATTATAAAGTTTCAGGTTCAATTTTATTTTGAGACAAAAAATACTTGGAGTTGGTGAGATAGGTATCCTGTTAAATTAGTTAAAGTACGTGAAAGTTAACGCGTACATCACAGAAAAAATAAATTATTTGACATACTTTTTAATTTAATTACGTCCTAGAAATGATGTCACGTTTCTATTATTAAAAATAACTTAACTTGAAATTACATATTTATCCTTAGTAAAATTGTTTATTGCTATACAAATAATCAACCCGTTTTAGATCACAAATTTAAAATTAAAAAAATAAATAAAATCAAACCTTAAATTAAAATGAAAATTCTTTATTAAATTTTTGCATCAAATTAGACTAACAAATTAAAATTGAAAGATTAGTATTTTTTTTTTTATGTTTAACCAAAACTGTAAAATATTAAAGAAATTAATACTGTATTTCAGAAATTTGGTAGCACGTGAAAATTTGACTTGTTTAACTCTGTATGCATTTTATTGAAACAGGCTGTAGTCTTTGAGTCTTCCCACCTACCCCACCCCCCAAACTTTCTGACACGCCACTTATAAAGAAAAATAAAATAATAATAATATTGAAAATGAAGAAAATTTATAAGAAAAATAAATATGATAAGTATTTGGAAATATTTAAAGTAAATTATTAGTTTCAGTTTAAACTATTGATAATTTTAAAAAATTATTTTACTTAACGAATAAAACTTAGATACATATTGTTGTATCATATGATATAACAAGTAACCTAAAACTCTAGTAAGAACATGAAATTCTTAATAAAAAACTGATAGAAGTATTAAAAATATTCCTAAATTTAATGAGAATTTAAGGGTATATTTTACTCATATTATAAAACTAAATATTTAAAATTTAATTAGTCAAATAAAATATATTTTAAAATTGTTAATAATTTTAAAATAAAACTGATAATGCCCGTTTGAATTTAAAGTAGGGCAACTTTCACATATAGCAAACAAAAAATTCATATTTATATGCTATAACAAACTTTGCATAATTGCGCTCCATATGAAACATAAAACTGTATAATTCGCTATACATATACTCGTTTATAATTCGTTGGCCTAAATTGTATAATTCGCTAGCCTATTTCGCTGCAATTGTATAATTCGCTATCCTATTTCACTGCAATTGTATAATGCACAATTGTATAATTCACTACCTATTTCGCTGCAATATTAAAGTGTATAGCAAGAAGATATATGTTTTTCTTTCGCTTTATACAAAAACAGAAACACAATATATACACTTCTGTTGTATAAAGCTAGAGAAAATTGTATTTCACTTCAATTGTATAATTCGCAATTGTATAATTCGTTGACCTTTTTCTCTGCAATACTTGAAGTAAAATGTTTGTAAATTGTATAATTAAGTGTATAACACGAAAATATATATTTTTGCATGTGTATACACAATTTTCTCTCGCTTTATACAAAATAGAAACAGAATTATACACTTCTGTGTATAAAGCGAGAGAGGAGAGCGAGAATGGAGAGTGGCGAGCGAGATTTCTGGGAAAGAGACGCTGGCAAATTTTAGCTAACGTTTGCTATGGAACACAATTAAATCAAACCTAGCTATTCCATTTATTTTAGGTTATTAATTTGCTATTATATACAATTTTCCCCTAATAATAACGTCCGTCGGAATAAATTAAGTGAAAAGAACAATATCCAATCATTTGATAATTTGAATCCACAAATTGATTAATTTAAATTGGTTTTTACAGTGCATCTATTAAAGGAAAAATAATTAGGAGAGATAGAAGTCCAAATACAAATTCAAAGTGTATTTTTTTAAAAAAAAATATTAAATATATTTACATATTAAGTTGAATTAATATTAATATTCATATTTCTAATTATTCAAAATTTATAAAATTAAAATTTTGCTCCACTTTTATTTCAAATATTTCCTTAATATTAGGACTTGAGTCCAAAAACCTCTTATTATAGTCCTAATGTTATTCAGTTAATCTGATGCCAATGAAATTAATTTTAGGACTCCAATTTATATCTCTTATGACCAAATGAAAAAAGAAAAACTTTTCTTGACATAATTACAAGTAATTAATTACATTAGTCCCCTAATAAACTATTCAGATTAAAAAATAATAACAAATAATCATAATTAAGTAGTTAAACTTGTTAAAAGTACATGTTATACCATTGATTTGATGTATGCACTACTTTCTCTTGTTGACCTTACCTATTCTAGACTTTTCTTCATAATAGGACATATATTTGATTGAAAGTTAAAGAATTTCCTTTTTTGAATGTGAAGTTCAGAAAATGAATTTGAAATTAAACATTGTATATTTGTATTTTAAACACACATTCTTGAAAAATATAAAAAAATTTATGATTGTTTTTTTTTAAAAAAAAAAAAAAACTAACCAAAATAACTAATACAATGTATTATATATATGCTCATAATGTGTTATGTTTTATTTTAGGGAGTAAAACTAAATAAGCATTGATTAACATTGTAACATTTAACTTTTCATCATCACATTGATACCATAGTAATACATTTTGTATATATTTTTAATAATTATAAACTATTTGAATCAATCTAATTCAATCAAACTACAAAAAATAATGGAATTGCAAAATAAGAAAATTAATATGAGATGAAAATAACTAAAAGCCATAGTGCAATGAATGTTTGACAGTTTATCTCTTAACTAGAGATCTTAATTTTTCGAACTTTAATATGAAAAGAAGGAAAATCTTTAGTAAAAAACTAAAGAATATTCACTATTTATAGTATTGAACGTCGAACGAAAAATGAAAAGAAAAATAAGAATTTTAAGAAGTAAGGAATTCTATTTTGTTCAAATAACTTGTTAGTTACATTACCATATGTAGGTTCATTCCCAAATAAAGAAAAAAAATAATTTTTTTTTTTTTTAAAAAAAGAGAGGCTCAAAGCATAAACCCTAGACAACCCTCCCATCTCTATTTGTTTGCCACGTGTCATCAGCCACAAACTCCATGGATTTCTCCCCCTTATTACCAAACCCCTTACCACTTCTCCATCTTCTTCTTCTTCTTCCCTCTGCTCTGTTTTTTCTCCCTCCTTCAGAACCGCCGCAAAATTCAACAAGAATGAAAAACAGCAAGCAGAACGAACTGTGTGATTTGTTTCGTAATCCATCTAAAGATGAAATTGAAGTAGTAAAAATTCTACTCGATCTCGAAAATCTAGTGAGAGAAAGACAATATTGTTCGGTAATTTGGGGTTCCAAGAAGAGGAGATCTAATCGACGAATCGATTCTTCTTCTTCTCCCGTCGTCAACTCATCAAGTAGTTCGAAAATCGATGGAAACGAAATTGAACCCAAAATTAAAGCTGAAGTTACTAGCCCTGCTAGCCCTGCTACTCCTCTTTCATTTTCCCCAAGTGAATCTGATGAAAAATCCAAACATTCTTCTCGCAGAAGCTATAAACGAAAGGTACTATTCTCAACCCCCTCTCTCTCTTCTTCTTCTTCTTCATGAATTCATAATTGTTAATTGATTTTCAAAATTGCTTTCATCGATTTCGATATCTAATATCTTTTTCTCTCTCTAGTAACCAGTTTCAATGCCTACCCTATTTCGGATAATTTTTGTTTTATGACATTTTAAACTTCGTTACAACAACAACAACGAATATCACAATTATGAATAACATATGCAGTGAAATCTCAGATTATTTTTGAAAGATCTTTGGCTATGAATTTTAAATCTTGTTGCAAAAAAATTGTATGTTTATGATTGGGGATTTGGTGAATGATTTGAGTTTTAAAATTGTTGATTGGTTTGCAGACGAGGGAGGAGCTAATGGATAAAATAAAACAATTATCTCAATGCAGAGAATCGCTTACAGGGGTAAGTTTGTAAATTCCTTCAACATAAATTTAGTTTTTTTTTTTTCAATTTTCTTTTCCTAAATTATCCTCTGTCTTTTTTTTTTAATTGATTTAATGGAATTTGTACAGGAAGTGGAGAATGTTCGTAATTACTACAATAATCAAAAAGCTTACAATATGAAGTTGAAAGCAATGAAAGAAGAGGTAAATATTCATCTCTATTTTTGGTAAAAATCTTTATTATTTTCTCATTTTTTTGAGATTTGTGATCGTGGTTGCGTAATTTGTTCACAAAATTGATCATTTGCTACACTAATCAAATGAAAGAACGTTTTAATTTAACTCGTGATAGCATATTATTATTCTATTTTTGAAGTTTTATTATTAGCTTACGACAAAAAGTGTATAATTTAACTCGTGATGGCATATTATTACTCTAGTTTTTGAGGTTCGCATATTAGTTTATGTCAAAAAGTGTAAAATGATAACTTAATTAATATTTTTTTTAAGTTTGCTTGTTAGCAATCAGGTTAACAACCTTCTTCCGTATCGTTAATTAAATACAGGTAACAAGAATGGTGAATTTCCAAGGGGGTGGTGTTAATTTAGGTCAACTTTACTCTAATCCTGGAATAGAGCCCAATCGTCAACAGCCGTTCATTATGGATCAGGTTGCTTCAAGATCAGAAGCTATTCATAGATTTCAATACCCATTGGGCCAGCTGCAACAGGCCCAACATTTGTACTCAAATGGGTTGGGCCCAGGCCCAATGGGCCTTCCTGATCTGAATGTTAAGGTGGAAGAGGCTTTCGCATTGGACCAGTTCGATATCGATAGAATGAATGTTGAAAGGAAGGCCCAATATGCTGAAGCTAGAAGGAAGAGGAGGATTAAAAGAATAGAAATTAAGAACTCATCTGGTTTTATTAGACCACCAAGAAGGAGATAGTAGGTAATTTTTGTATTTTTGATCCTTCCATAGAATGATAGTATTATTTTTTTGTGAGCGATACGGAAGGCCAATCGAGCAAAGCTCTATTTTTTTGCTTTGTCCAATGTCGCTAAGTGAAATTGTATCGTACATTCGTTGAAATAAGTAGATGAGCTATAATGATGTACGAATACTTTTCATTGATCGTATAAACAAAATATTCATGTCTTAGCCCTTAGGTATCTCGTGAAATTAATGTGTGCAAAAATTAGCTTGGACACCCCCTAATACACTTCAAATATAACCACTTATTGTTGGTTTATCGATATATTAAAGAATATCTAATTATTTTCGTTGATTATTGGACGCGTTGATCTTTGTACTATTCAGATCAGAAAGGCATAATGGATCAAAATGTCTCTACTTATATTGATTTTGTTTCTGTCCTAAGTAACTTGGATACTTAACAGGCCCAAATTTTAAAACTGGGCTATTAACTAGGTCCACATAAAACTAGGTTTAGGGTTTGGTGACTGCTGCTATTTATACCAACACTGGAGTCATCCAGAACCAGCAGCTCAATTTCTCTGTGACTAAAATTTCTGCCTTGGCTATATGAAAAATGTTTGGCGTCTTTTCTTCTTCTTTTTTCTCGTATTTATGTGCACATCGACTAATTTCACGATGACTCTTTTCTCTCTCTGTGTTATTTTTTCTTTTAGAGTTTGATTGAAAATTGATTGCAAAAAGGGGTATGCAGATGATGACAATATTTTTGAGGATATAAGAAGCTCAAACTTTATTGGAGTTTGAGCGATGCTTTTTCCTAATACTTCCATGACTCTGATGCATACCTTATACTTATTGCATTTTTTTCTTTGTTGGCGAAATTATGTTCTTCCATGGTGAGATTGTATTGTTTTTTGTTGGTATAATTTCATGGTCGCCTTACACTTGGATTTCAATCATGTGTATAAAAGAAGTTTATTTGAATGAATTTAGGTTTAATTAGGTCTTATGAATCTAACCAATTCAGTATGTTTTGTGCGACTTCTCATAATTAAAGGCCAAATACAGTGATAGATTCTTTAATTTGATCTCAATTTTAATGTTGGTTTTTTTATTCATAAGTTAGATCCTTGAAAGCAAGGGAGAAGCTGAAATATAATTAAAACTTGTTTTAGTTAGATGTTCAATCTAGATATATTTCGGTTCTCCCCTTCATAAATCAAAAATTGAATCAAGTGAATTGAATAACTGGAAATAGAAACAATAAGGGTCCGCCCCTTAAATTAATGGAGTGAAATACCATGTTTTACTATTTAATTTGGGGGATGAAAGAAGCTGAATGTTATTTTCCTTTAAAAACATTGATTAGTTAATCAATTTCTTTGTGTCATTTTTTTATTGGATATTTTGTCTGAAGTACCTTTAAGGCTCATGAAATCACTTTATTGATCTTCCGAAACGTGTATAATTTGGTGAAAAGTGCCTTAAATTTAAGAGAATTGGCTATATGTTACGGACTAATTATAACATGTACTCAGATCATGGGCTAAAGAGAAATGAAATCTTTCTTCCATGTAAATATGCAAAATAGAATTCCGGAAGAAAAAAACATGAATCAAATGTAATAGAATAACTGCTGGAGGAATCATATTTAGAGGAGTACGGATGCTAGAATAGTATGTAAGAAACTGCAATACACCAACAAGTACAAGAAGCTACTGTAATACAGTATATTCATATAGACCAATAAAAGACATTTCATTTCTCAACAAACCAAACACAAAGTTCAAATGAAGAGAAGACAATAGGAAACATAACAAGTTCACTTGGCAGAAATTGAACAAACCAACAATATATCAAATGTAGAGAAGTTTTTAGGATTGGTATTGATCATCAGCAACCTCATCATCATCATACTCTTCCTCATCATCTGCTGTAGCATCCTGGTATTGTTGATATTCTGCAACCAAATCATTCATGTTGCTCTCGGCTTCAGTGAACTCCATTTCATCCATTCCTTCACCTGTGTACCAATGCAAGAAAGCCTTGCGCCTGAACATGGCAGTAAACTGCTCACTCACCCTTCTAAACATCTCCTGAATGGAGGTTGAATTTCCAACAAACGTGGATGCCATCTTCAGCCCAGTTGGTGGGATATCACACACACTAGACTTGACATTGTTAGGGATCCATTCAACAAAGTAGGACGAGTTCTTGTTCTGCACATTGATCATCTGTTCATCTACCTCCTTTGTGCTCATCTTACCCCTAAACATGGCAGAAGCTGTCAGGTAACGTCCATGACGGGGATCTGCCGCGCACATCATGTTCTTGGCATCCCACATTTGTTGAGTAAGCTCTGGCACTGTTAGCGATATGTATTGCTGTGATCCACGAGAGGTTAGTGGGGCAAATCCCACCATGAAGAAGTGAAGACGTGGGAAGGGAATTAAATTCACAGCCAATTTCCTCAGGTCTGAGTTCAGCTGACCAGGGAATCTCAAACAGCAAGTAACACCACTCATGGTTGCAGAGATCAAATGGTTCAAGTCACCAACTACACGAGAAAATAGGCAAAATTAATCATTTGCTTACTTAAACTTGCAGATCATATTATTGGTTACCACTAAAGAGAAACACTTACAACTTGGAGTAGTGAGCTTCAAAGTTCTGAAACAAATATCATATAGAGCTTCGTTGTCAAGGACCATACATTCATCGGCATTCTCCACCAATTGGTGCACCGACAGTGTAGCATTGTATGGTTCTACAACAGTGTCAGACACCTTTGGAGAAGGGAAAACAGAGAATGTGAGCATCATCCTGTCTGGATACTCCTCCCTTACCTTGGAAATCAGTAGTGTTCCCATGCCAGATCCAGTCCCTCCACCAAGTGAGTGGCAAACCTGGAATCCTGATCCATAAAACAAAGAATACAAAACAATCAACTACCACCCCTCAATCAACAAATGGTAATAATTGTGTATAAAGAGGGTCACAAATAGATGCATTAGACATAAAAGTATTCAATTAGATAATATCACTGTCCAGAAATTTCAAGACAGAAACAATATAAATAAGATCTTAGATAAATTTCCAAGAGTATAAGGAAAAGAAACACACGACGATTGACTAGTATTACCATAAGTAAGATCCAGACACATCATAAATCTCAGTACTCGATCATGCACTCTAAGAGAGTATGAATTCTTGTGAGATGCATGATGAGAAAGTTAAATTTATCCTTCTGCTAGACTATACAATTTTATGCCACTCATGTGTGTGCTCTATGAGATTCAGGCTTTATATGAACATTCAAATGTGCACATATGCATCAGCATTATTTCTACCCTGAGTCAGACAAGTTGTTAACAGCAAATATAGGCATTTTCATCATAGAGCATACGATTACGAATGAGTAAAAGAGACCTGTATATGACCAACTGTGCTACCATAGGTACATTCATAGAAACAACAAACAAGCATTAAACAAAATAAAACAAGATCAAATTCGGTTACATCTAGGTTATATCGACTATAAGCACATACATCGGACCAATTAGCATAGGATTTGAAATGAAAATGAGGAAGAGATCTAGTATTGGCACTTGTTAACTACCAATAGGAAGAATCAGTACGCAATTAGCAATAAAATCGAAAACAGAAACTAAAGGCACTGTCAACTATGAACTCATACATCGGGCAAATTAGCATAGGATTTTGGAATGACAATAAGAAAGAGATCTAATATATGCAGTGTGAACTACCAATCGGAAGAATAAGCAAGCAATCCGCAATAAAAACGAAAACAGAAACTAAAGGCAACAGGCACATTCATAGAGGAAATGAACAAAACCTTGCAAGCAATCACAATTCTCCGCTTCTTTACGAACAACATCTAGAACAGCATCAATCAACTCAGCGCCTTCAGTATAATGACCTTTGGCCCAGTTATTACCAGCACCAGACTGTCCAAAGACAAAGTTATCAGGACGGAAGATCTGTCCATAGGGACCAGATCTGATACTATCCATCGTACCAGGCTCTAGATCCATCAAAACCGCCCTAGGAACATAACGTCCACCAGAAGCTTCATTGAAATAAACATTGATACGTTCAAGCTGAAGATCGGACTCAGCGGCGGTTCCTTTGTAACGTCCGGTAGGATCAACACCGTGTTCATCACAGATAACTTCCCAGAATTTGGAACCGATTTGGTTTCCACATTGTCCTCCTTGAATGTGAAGAATTTCTCTCATTTTCTCTTAGTTTTTTTGATGAAAAAAATTGATGAGAGGAATGAGAGAATAAGAAGAAGAAGAGATGAAGATGAAGATGAAGATGAAGGGAGAAATGGGAAAGAGAGTGATATTTCTAGTGGTAATGAGGAGAGAGGCGGGAATACATAAACACGCAATAACTGATGGACCCTACATTATAGGCTGAGAAGAATATGGGTCCCCCGATTTTCACCACCGATATTTTTGGCATCCATTATTTTCTTTTTGTTCTCTTCTTAACGCCCAATAAATTAATTTATCATCTCAAATAAGTATTTTCTTTTCTTTCAAAAAAAATGTGTATTTTTAGAAAAGAAATTAGTTACTAGTTATTATTTTTAGTAAATGTATATAAGATGTTATGAGAAAGATATATGTAATGTTTTGGGTGTTTTTTGATAAATACCTTTATAATTAAAGGAATTAAATGTGTCTTTTTTTAAGGAGATGAATAAATCTTAATAGATTGATAAGTGGTAATGCGTATATATAAAAATGTTGATTTAGCGTGTGAATGCATTGACCATTTGAGTTATTGCGTTGAAATGTAATATTCCTATGTTTTTTTGTTTGAGTTCAGTCAAATTCAACGCATTTACTATACATTTAGCTTAGTCATTAAATATAAAAAAGAATCTTTAAAAGGACAAACAACACGAGATGAAATAGATAGTTATTAAACATAATGCATTCAAATTTATATATATTATCAAAAATAAGATTTATTTTTTATTTTTTTCGTCTATATTTGATGTATAAAACTTTAATTAAAATTAAATCACACACTGTAGGACCTATTACTGGATGGTGCTTTGAACAGTTTGAATTATAACCATGTTGAGCATGAAATTGTCTTATTATCCTTAATGTAGCTCCTCATATATATAGTAAAATGTTTAAATCGTGATCAAGTTCTCTACTCAACTTGATCTTTTTCTGTTTTTGCTTTGATTTGAATTACTCTATTTATTAACCTTATTGTAATCACTTAACACACAAAGCCTACAAACTAGTTCTAGTTTAGATCCAATCAAATTTTGTCAAAAAGTGTTGAAGAATATTTTGCGTTGAGTTACTAGAAACAATTTGGAAACTTAAACAATCATTTGGATCAAGAACTCAATTATTGTCATTTCATTACTGTTTTCACCTCCATTATTTCATTCACGTGGCTATGTTTCTTTTTTATTACTAATATATAAGTTTTATCACGAGCACAAACCCCACAGCCAGTGAGGTATTTATGATATTTGTGGTGTTGACAGCTACTGATATTTTGTCTCAATTACTACAAGGTTTGTCTACTTGCAATATTTTTTTTCAAGTATCCTATCGTGATCACCACCTAATATTATTTTCACTATGTTTTTTTATTTATGAGATGCCAACTCCAACTATTGTACTAGATGGGGACAACAGCAGAGTTTTAGATCTGAGTAATGGTACACTTCAATGCTTGAGCTCATCCACATAAAACTGATCTAAAAAAGATTCCTCATTACTTTCGACTCGAACTACTTTGAATGTGTTTTGACTTCATCAATTCGTTTTTGATTAGTCGTG